AGACACGAAATGTGAAAGGATATTGGGTAACTAAGGCCCTCTCCAGCAGGCCCAGAGGAGCAGGTTGAGAGGCCATGCAGCCAGGACCCACCCCGCAGTTCCAGTTGAGAGCCTGGTGCTGTGTCTGGACACCACTGCTCGGCCTCAGCACAGGTGGCCCCGGAAGGATGGTCATGTCTCCACCCTTTCAAAATACATTGCTTGCTTCTGCCCCCACTGTCTTGCCTGTGGAGTCTAGTCCTGAGGCACCAATTTGGAAGTGCCCAGGGCACAGACAAAGGCTGGGAAAGCAAATCTTATCTGCCAAAAGGACAATGTCTCAGAGGCGGGTATGTCAATGAAATAAAAATGCCCATTTTTCAGTACTAATTGCATCAGTTTGAACTTGCGTTTTATTAGCAGATGACATCACACATGCTACACTACGAATTACTAGATTTTTAAAAACCTGTCATTATTTTCTAAGGTGTGCAGTGGGATTGCCTTGCATTTTTATGTTTGAAAGTGTTGGTAAGCAAACCACAATCTTTGGCAGCTTATGACAGGATGACAACTATATCAAGATTCTCAAACAATTAAATGGTTCCAGATTCTCAGAGTTTGATTCATAGACGGGTTATGTGAACTTTGGACAAAAACCCACATAGCTCTAGTTCTAGTTCAGCTTTATTATCTTCAAGTAAGACAATAAGGCTGCCTTGGTGGAGCAGCGGATTAACCAAGGAGCTGCTGATCAAAAAAGGTCAGCAGGTGGAGCTACTCGGTGGGAGAAAGATGAGACCTCTGCTTTTGTAAAGATTTACCCTACAGATTCTATAGTCTCCCATTTTACCCTACGGATTCTACAGTCTCCCATCGAATCACTGAGTCAGAGTCAACTCAAAGGCAGCGGGTTTGGTTTGCGTCTCTTTACTGGGTTTTACTGGTATCCTTGTAAGTACGATAGATAGTAAAGTTTGTAGTGTAACTTGATAGGATGCACTGAAGAATACTAATTATAAGAATTTCGCTTACCTATTTTGGTTGGTGGGTGGTTTATACTAATTAACTTGTGTAGCTTGCCAGAAATGTTAAGGGCCACACATAACCTTACAAGTGAGCGTCTAGCTCCCGGATCATTGGGTGTCTCTCTGCACAACACAGTCCGGCCTTGGAGGACAGTGGAGTCAGGAACGAAACCCAGTCTGGCAGTAAGAGGAAGACAGTTGTGTGGTTCCTTCATTTGCTTATTTCATAAACATTTGGTAAGCACCTACTGTGTGCTCAGATCAAGTAACAGGGTCTCCTTCATGTGGGCACCAGGTAGGGAAGAGGGCTGTGTTACAGCATCACCGCCGTCTGCTGAAACACTGTTGAACAAGAGAGGAAAGATGTTCTGTTTTGCCCAGAGTCATCCAGGTCGGTTCCAGGGAGGCGGACTGGAGTGGAGGGAGAAGCAGAAGTGAGGAGGGCATTCTGGGTAAAGAGAGCTGCATGTGCAAGGATTTGGGCACGTGAAGTTCCTGAAGGAGAAAGTTGGGTGAGGAATGACACCCTGTCAGACACCTTCAAAAGTGAGACTGGAAGCACCTGTTTTTTGCTGTTGATGATAATGCCTAGCATTTACATATTGTGTTAATTTGACCTCATTTACATAATGCTTCATTATAAAGAATCACTGCGATGTCGCCTACTTGTCCTCAGTCTGCTGCTAACCCTGTGGCTCCAAAAGTCAAGGTAACGACCTTGACGTTGGCGTGAGGCAGAAAAATATCAAGCGATGTGTTGCCCGGTCTCCGTTTTAAAGCCACCATGTACATCACAGAAGTGGTATAAAAAGAACTCTGAAGATAATTCTACGTGTTTATTTCTTGCTCGCTACAAAGGTTTATTTTCCATAGTTCTTTTGGTCTTTGTCCACATACATATTACATGTTTTGGTAGACATAATATAGACACTTTTTCCATTCACGATTACATCTATTTTTTTTTTTTTGCTTCCCCAGAATATTTTTAATTCTAGCTTTTCATAGATGCCCAATACCTCAATGAGTAGTCTGGAAAATTGTCTTGCTTCATGGGCTCAATAGTTTGGGCAATATCATCCTGACAGTCTTCGGGTATAGAACTTAGTTCTCCTGTCAGGCTTTTTTATAATAGAGTTTCATGATTTAGAGTTTTCCTATGTCTCCCTCCTAATCTACTCTTCAATAAGTACTTAAATGTGGATTTTTAGGGATTTTACTTCCTTTATGTAGCAGCCTTACTAATGCACCGTTCCAGACATAACAAATCCGAGAGCTAAATTGTAATGGCATTAGTGAACCTGTAAAGACGTGTAGAAAAGCAGCAGCCCAGACTCTGGAAATATTATGGTCGAGACACCGTGATGGCCAGAAAACGTTGCTGTAACCGAAAAGGCTAAGCCCCCTCTGCAGTGTTTCCTAGGTTTATATTCTGTGAATTTGATTCTTTCATTAAAACCCCCTGCCATTGGGTCAATCCCAAATCATACAGCCCTCGAAGGCCAAGTAGACCGTTCTGTAGGATTTCTGAAACGGGATTATTTTGGAGAATTATTATGGAGGTAGGCAGCCTCATCTTTCTCTGGCAAGGCAGCTCGTGAGTTTGAACGGCTGACTTTTTGGTTCCCAGCTCAGTTCTTAGACGCATGAGCCTCCGGTGTGCCTCACCCACTCCTAAGCCAGTCAATATTTAGTCTCCTTTCAAAATGTCTCTCTCTTCGTTTCCCTCGTGTAGTAACATTACCATTTGATCAATACCCTTTCCACTTCCATGTTTAAAATTATTGTTGCTGTCTTTGTACCTGCCTCCCATCCATTAGTGATTTTTTAAAACCTTTCTTTTTCATAGGAGTTCGTTCCTATGACTTTTTTGTTGCCGCATACCCTCACCATGTGACCCAGAAATTCCACCTCTGGGCGTTCTCAGAAGTATGTGCACAGATGCTGGCACAGCTTTATTCAGAACCACTAAAACTGGAAATCGCTCCAGTGCCCTTCAGTAGGCAGGTGGAAAAACACAGTGGGAGGGGGGCTTAATATCATGGGATACGACTCAGCGATGAAAAGGAATGAACTATTGAAACACAGCAACACCAATGAATCCAAAAGGCAATAAACTGGTCTCCACATCCGATGGGCTGTATGGTTGCCTTTATATGACATTCTGGAGAAGGCAAAACCAGAGTGGTGGAGAACAGAGCGGTGGTTGCTGGGAGTGACACGTGAGGGGGGGTATGACTACAGAGAAAGAATATGGGAGGGTTGTAGGGGGTGATAGGACTGGTCTGTGTCTCATTTGAGCATGGTAACAAGATTCTACACTTCTGCCAAAATTCATAAAACTGCATATAGGGAAAGAGGCATTTTTATTGTATGTTGATTTAAAAAGTTAGAGGGAAAAATAAACCAGTGTCATCAAACTAGTTTTATGTCTTTTGACAATTTATTTAACTTCTTTAAATCTCAGTTTATCTGCCTGTAAATTATGGCACATGCTCTCTACCTTGAAAAGGTGGCATAAAGATGAAATAGGATGTCAGAAAGCATCTACTTGACATAGAGGAGGCTTCTTGTTCTTTTCCCCTGGAATGGTTTTTCACCGGGGGCAGTTTCTGTTTTCATTATTACCTGTGCTTTTAAAAAAGAAAAGTTCTTTGTCTAAATTTTGGATCACAAACTGAAGCCACTGAAGGTTTCAAGCAAGAAAAGTGGCATGAGCTGGCTTTCATTTTGAAAAGATCGTGTAGGTAACTTAGAGGCCAAGAGCTGGGAGAAGGATAAGAACAGAAATACGGAAAGAGACCAGCAGTGAGCAGGTAAGAGATCATGCAGTGTGGACATGGAGCGGGGCCTTGGAGAGAAGAGGAGGAGGCAGGTTTGGGGTTCGTTTCGAAGCTGAACGAACTAGGTCTGCTGGTGGTTGGAGAGGCTAGGAAGAGGAAAAACAATTTGAGTCGACTCCTGGGGTTTGGACTTGCACAACTTAGGTCGATGGTGAGGTCATTTCCTGAGATGAGAACTCCGAAAGAGCAAACTCAAAACACTCGAGAATTCAGGGCGAGCGTCGGAAGTGCAGGAGGCAGGTGGCCGTTCAGTGGCAGGGTCTCGAGCCAAGGGCCAAGAATGGCCGCTCTTTCTCGGACTGCAGCGCCTTCAGGACGGCAGGTGGCCGGAGGAGTCTCCCAGCAGCAGCCCCCCAGGCTAGGGTCAGAGGGTCCCTCCGCAGCATTTCTTGTGACGCAGTCTCGAAAGGTTTCGTGGCGTATGTCTCTCTAACCCATTTCTGAGCCAGATGATGGAAACTTCCCCCAGATTATGCTCCTCTGACTCAGGGCTGCCATTTTTCTGTTCCCTTTTCGAGTAGTAAGATGGAGGGGCAGGCGACCCCCCACATGTTCAGATACCTGCTCATCTAGCTGAAAGGCACCACACATTGTGTAAGATTGAAAAGCGCTGTGAGCCACAGAGAGATGTTGACTATGCAAAAGCAGGGCATTGAACATGCTCACAGACTACTCTCGTGTATTTATTTTTAGTATCCTTTGATTTTCCTTAGCAAAACTGACAACGAAGGGGAAAAAGTCAAGATATATTTCTCTCGGTGACACCCCATGTAGGGTGGTGATTTCTTCTGCAAGGAAGGGAAGGGAATGGGGCGTGGGGAGGAGCGTCGAGGAAGCCGCCGCTGACTCAGCCAAAAGACAAGATGCTGTTGAGTTGAGTGTTGATTCCATAGAAATCAAGTCATTTAAAAAGCTAAGCCCGAGAGAGAATGCGCGTCTCCCATCCCCATGAACCATCCTAAAGAGCTAGCGATGGGTTCTTTGTCTCAGCAGTGTTTATGCCCAGTCCTCTTCTTCAAGTCACTTGTCCGAGGGGCCAAGCGATGGTTTAACACTTGCTCCACGTTCTTCTAAGTCGTCCTTCTTCCAGCAGGTGGCCCTCGTGCAATGAACTGGTGGTGATCCGGAGCATTTTTGTTTTTTACCAACACAGGACTATTTCTGCACAAACCCATCACCAGGCTGTGAATTTCAACATCTTTGAGGGCATGGTTTGTCACGGGGTGCCTCTTGTGACCATCTCCAGAGGCAAAGTGGTGTATGAAGCTGGAGTTTTCAATGTCGTGGCAGGAGAGGGGAAGTTCATTCCTCGAAAACCATTCGCTGACTATATTTACAAACGAATCAAGCAGAGAGACCAGGTGAGTGTGTGCACGGCGCTCTCACCCATGCGGAGCTCCTGGATGCCTGGCTTGTTGGTGTCATTGTGGCTGTGGTGTGACACTAACACATTCCTGGTACATAAGGATTGGTACCGTTTCCCTGAAAGTAAGACATCCTTCGAAAATAAGACCTACTTACAGTTTTGCCTCTCGCTGAAATATAAGGCTTCCCTCCGAAAACAAGACCTCCCCCAAAATAACCCCCCCCCCCAAGCTACTGTAACTCTGGACTCTGGACCATAGCAGTGTGTGCTGCCGCGCAGCTCACTGTTGGCCGCAGCACAGCTGGAGCAGACAGGAAGTGTGAGGTCTCTTTTAATAAAACAATAAATAATAAATATGTACTGTATTCTTCTTCATGGAAAAATAAGACATCCCCTGAAAATAAGACCTAGCGCATCTTTGGGAGCAAAAATTAATATAAGACACTGTCTTATTTTTGGGGAAACGGTCATAGAGATTACAGACAAGCACCCATTTTCAAAGAAAGAATTACTGGATAGATGCATTTTTCCTTTGCAGATCAATGTCCACCTAAGAGTTTGTGGACCAACGTAGGTTGTCCTAGGCATTGTTGACATTTTGGCAGAAGCCTGGATCCTCCAAGAAGTAGGCCTCCAGATGGGTGGATAAAGGTGCAAGGACTTTATTGTAGGAAACCCCCGGGAGAGAACTAGGGAGGGAGTTAGGAAGGCTGAGGGAGCCCTCAGACAGCAGCGCCGGCCAGGAGGTAAGAGGGAAAGAGGGTGAAAAGGTTGGATGCAAGTGGCTTGGACAGTTTTCTTTGAGTTCTCCAGTCAAATCTCCTTTCTCTCTTAGAACTCCCCGAGTGGTGCAGATGGTTAATCCACTTGGTTGCTGACTGAAAGGTTGGGGGTTCAAGTCACCTAGAGGCATCTTAGAAGAAAGATGCCTGGCGATCTGCTTCCAAAACACGCAGCCGTTGCTAATCACACGCAGTTTAGTTCTTCCCGGTGCACCGGGGGGCCCTACCATTAGGCAGAGTGACAGCTGGTGCTGATGAGGGTAGACGTATCCATGCTGGTCCAGTCCTGGCCTGGGAGCAGCAGCAGGTGTGACACACACAGGGCAGCGGGTTCAGAGCAAGGCCTCCACAGCAGTGGTGGCTTCCGGAGGTCGGGTGGCTATCATGATCACTCCACCCTCTCCCCTTATTTCCTCACACTGTAATTATGGGCACGTGTTTCCATCCTCCCTGGGCTGCTTCCTGGACTGCGTTTCTTCTGCAACACATTGTTGGGTGACTGTAATGAGATTTTAAAATGTAAGATACACAAGTAAGTTAGGAAAGGTCAAGTCTCTTTGTAGTTCCCTTTTGGATGACCAAATCTTTGGTAAGGCCTCTCTGTCTTTATTTGTAGCAACTTATAAAAGATACTGGTTCTTAATATAGTTGGCCTCTCACAGACACTGCACCGCGCGCACGCCGTGCTTGGCACAATGTCAGGTTCATTGTGCACTCTAAAATAGCAACATCTTTTACACGACACTAGCTAGATTTCTGGAATTTGAGGTGGGGGTAGGATCACGAGGAGTCAGAATTAACTGGAAAGCAGTTGATTTTGATGGGGTTTCTCTGAGTGAGGCTTGACTCTGTGGCACACGACAACAAAAATAACAACAGGGAGTTGCCACCCTCCCCCCCCTGGCCCTCCATCTCAGGTGGCAAGAAGATGGCAGTGCGGCATTACAGAGACCCGACAGAGGCACGTCGGCCTGACGCCCAGCAGGCTTCACCCTGTGTGTGACTGGCCGCAGCCTGGAGCCGGTGGAGCATTTTCCCTCTCGGATTAGTTGTAAGGCTCTTCTCTCTCCTTTTCAGTTTCAAGCATCAGCCTCCCCGCCTGCC